GGAGATTTGAAAACTAGGAGCATTTGGTGCTGCTTTCCAAGAAGATTAAACATTCATTGGGAAAAGGGTGGAATTTTGGGGACCTTAGCTTAAGATTATTCATAGGTATGGAATGGAAATTTAATTATTTACTTGAATATAGCTGAGCGGGTGTTGAGAGCTTTTAAAGCTTGAGTTCATGGATTGATTAATTGATATGGGGATTTGTTGAAATAGCAAAAGGAGGGTGTGAAAGCTTTAAAAGTTTAGTTCGAGTGACCGATTGTGGAAGTTGAAGTTATTGTATGTTATTAAATATCCATTGGCATTCAAGGCTAAGCTTCAACTGTTTACAGACTCTTCTCATTTAATGCCCCTAGCTCACCTCTCACCGCCTTTCTTAAGTTCCCTAAACTAAATACTTTTAACTTTTGCCTTGGCTCACGTATGGCTTCAAAGTTAGAAAGCCCACGCCAAGGATTATGTAATACTACGTAAGCAAAGTTAAAATTTAGGGTCTTGGGAGGATTTCAATAACTATCATGGTCTTTCATTATTGATAATCATTAGCATTTTATTTTAATATATTTATTTGAATAGTATTGTCCGTAAATTGTAATGGACATGACGAGCGGGAAACACATCAACGATCATGATTTAGTTTTGAATCGGCAGGGGGTTTTAAGATCCATCAGGACCAGGTGAAATTATATATAATTTACCAAAGAGAGAGGTTGGTTAGAACTTCACATCTAAGCTTTGAATAGCAGCAGCTTGGGAGTGTAGTTAATTGAAGGCCAACTTGGAATGCACGTCATGCATAGGTAGGTCTTCCTATTGGTTAATTTCTTCCGTCAATAACTTTGCCCTTGCACCCCAAATTTCAGCCTATATAACCACCTAAACCATTTCACCCATTTGATCACTCTCTCGAGAAGACAAAAAACTGAGCTAGCTTAAACTGTATAGCTATCTTTGGAGTACTCTCAATTTCTATATGATTTCCTTTGAAGCTCTCCTCCCCTCCAGATATCAGCAATACGATCCCGGAGTTCGAAAATTCATCAAAGAAGAGAAAGTTGGAAGATTCACAGGATGATCATGAGGAAACTTCAGACAAGCGATCCAACCTGAAAGTATGAAATCGATGTTTGATATGGAGCTACACCTCGAGACTCCATTACCTTTGGAGTGGCAAAGTGTCTTGATATTCAGGTATGCATACATACATGTATAAATGTAATTAGATGAATTTTCTCCATTAATGTTACATAAACAACACCTATAACCTTATAGGTTCTTTGCTTCCTTTTGTGTTCAGTCAGGGCAGATACACTTTTACAATACAAGGACTCATACAAGAACCTCAAAGGACCCAAGGAGGAGAAGCCCTGAACCCCCAAGCTCTGGTCACATGAGCTTAGACCTTGAGCTAAACCTACCGTGTGATTCATCAGCAAGGAAAGTAAATACAGCAGATCACCAATTATTCAACAGCAAAACTCTGTCAGCCCCACGAGGATAGCTCGGTCGATAAGAAGATCAACTCATCAGAAGGACTAACTTGCAACTTTTCATGGTTGGTGGAGGAGGAGGAGGATCAAAAGAGCAAGAGATGGTAGCAACGGTGTGCATGCGATGCCACATGCTGGTGATGCTTTGCAAGTCGTCGCCTGCATGCCCTAACTGCAATTCATGCACCCACCAGACCAAGGCCCTCCAAAGCAATTCAAGCAAAGGCTTAGCCTCCTATGCTAATAAGGTCAATCAAGTTTTTCTATGTTCAGGATAACAAATCCACTTCTACGTGTGTCGATTAAAATTTGCATCTCTTAATTCATCCTGAAAAGCTAAATTGTCTTTTCTAGATGCCTTAGCTGATTTATATATATAATATTATTTATATAGATGCTTCTTATCTCCAATGAAAATGTCTACAGATAGAGAAGAACTGAAACTAATTTATGTATGCTTTATATTCTATTGTTAAGCAAAAGGATATCATAATGGTGGCTCAGTGTGTTTTCCAACAGTTCACTGGCTCTCTTTTATACATGCATAACTATACCAATAATACGGCCCCAAAACTCATCGTCAACGTACCTATTTTCTTAAACCGCCTCTGTATCATCCAGATGACACCCAAAAGCCAGGGCCTCTTCTTTTTAAAAAAATCAGTCAAGTTTTCTTCAATGTTTACACAGGAGAAACCTGAATGTTGGTTAAGGAGATTAATCAGAAATTATAGTGCAACTAATCTAACTTACGACTGTTCAGCAGCATTTATTGGCTTCATTGAGTGAACAGTAGTTGGTGTAGTAAATTTAATTGCGAGATCTAACTAAACAATTTTTAACTCTATTTTCTTTTTCTATAATATCTTGAGAAATTTCACGTTACATACAAAATTCTTACAGTTTTTCCTAGTTATAATACCAACTAGAATGTCTCGCATTGGCAATATTCAGCAGCATCAGACATGTTGTAATGCTACAGTTTAAAATGAGAACACAGCCTCTTTTACCCCATTCAAGAAGGGTTCTCAACCGAAGATTTCAAACAAAAAGATAGAGAAACTTGAACCCTATTCATTGACATAATATGAACATGAGCTTTACAAGTTGAAGTTTGAGAAGATTTTCCTACGAGAGGTGGACTGTAAATGTCACGTAGAATGAACTTATGATCATCTCATGGGAGACCGGATCACTTTCCAAGATGATGAACTTAATTGCAAGTACTTTTGATAACACGTGGAGATGATGATCCTGTTCAGACTTCAAGGAACAAATTGTTTCCAAATTTTTCACTCATTTAGGAGATCAAATTATAAACAATGATGAGAAAATTACTTGTTTCTGTAAGATCAGCATGCCAACAAATTTACTCAATATATCTGTCCAGTTTTGTGCTACAACAATTTTTCCAGTTTCTTTAAGTTTATTAATAGAGAAAATAATCTCAGTGACCGAAAATGCCTTATAATATACGATTTTAACCAATTTTTTTGGATTTGCCAAAATGACCAACACAAATCTTAACGCAACGCGAACTCTAATTTTCAACTAAATTTCCAAATTCGCAACGCGATTGTAAGATTCACAACGCGATTTTAAAAAAATGTGTTGCGATAGTTAAAATGTGTTGCGAGAGTTTGAAAAACGTGTTGATGCGATAGTGAAAAATATTGCGATAGTGAAAAATCCAAAATAGTTTACATTTTAACTATTCCAAATTCATGTGGAGTTTGAAACAATAAAAATGTGTTGCGATAATGTAAGAGATTCCCAAGCCATTTGTAAGATCTTAGTTTGAAACAATAAAGAATGTGTTACGATAGTGTAAAAGATTCCAAGTGTTTGCAATACTCAATCCCACATAGTATTGGAAACACTTTGGAATGGTATTAAGACTTGGATTTCCCACTTCCTTGTTGAGTGGAAGAGAACAAGGGGGACTCTCGCGCACCATCGCCGCCGCTGTCCCGCTCGTGGTCGTAGTCGTGGTAATACGTGTTTCGACACCGCGCGATATCTTTTTAGATAAAATTCTTAACGTGAACTTGGACTATCGCAACGCGAATTTAGAAAATCGCAATGCGATAGTCAAAATCGCATTGCGAATCTGGAAACTGATTTGCTATACTGGAGATCGCGTTGCGTTTAGAGATCACATTGCGATTTTGTTGGTCATTTTGGCAAATCAAAAAAAGTTGGTCAAAATCTATTATAAGGTATTTTCGGTCACTGAAGTTATTTTCTTATTAATATATAACATGGTAGTATTTACTCTGCTTGGTTATTGCCACGAGAAAAGGGGAAATGACCAAGACCAGCCAGATGAACTTAAAACCCCTATCTATTACATAAATTTAATTTTTGGCTTAGTTCGATGGCCTAATTGATTCTTTTAAAAAATTTAAGAACTTAATTAATTTTTCTAGAAAAATTAAGAAATTATTTAAATTTTAAAAATAAAATTAAATAATTTAAGATTTTTTACATATATATAAATATACTACAAAGTTGAATTATTAAAAAAATATTCTAAGGACCAAATTGAGAGTAAAAAATGTTCATGTACTATATTGATTTTTTACAAAAGTTTGAGGGTTTCATACTATTAAATTGAAGGAATTGTTTACAAGATTTGAACCCGTGTAAATTAAGTTTAAAATCTAAATATAGTGTTTTCCTATTTTAAAATTTCCAGAATAATTTTAATAAAAATACTAAAAACATATTTTTTTTTTATGTTTTCATATTTTCACTTATTTTTTTTCTAAATTTTTTTTTAATTTGACAACCATATATTTTCTTCAATGTTTTCTACTTTTTTAAGAAAATGAAAATAACCAATATTAAATCTCAAAACAGTTGCACCACAGAACCATAAATGAAACTATTATTGCTTGGATATGAATATATCTGTTCGATATAAATATATTTAATTTTTTAAAGTTCCTTCATATACTCCAAATATTATATCCTCATGCTTCTCTCCAAACATGAATCAGACATGATTACTTCAAAGAAAGACCCAAATTCCATATAATATAGGTTTTGCTTCCTAAAGAGGTTAGTAGATTAAGAGGCAAGATAAGTCAGATAAAAGGCATGAAAGCAAAAGGGAGTTATAGGTCACATACAGAACAAATCGATACACAAAATGAGAGGGGGTTATAGAAGAGGAATTTGAAAAAGTTTGTCCCTTTCTTTTTCTTTTGATTGGAGTGAATATTAGCAATAGGTACCACAAAGACATAGTAAACGAGTAAACAAAGTGAGACCATGAGCCACCTATCCCCGCCAGTTTAATACTCCTAGCCTTAGGCTTTTCTATCTGGTAAACAAACTGCATGCTCAAATTTTAAAATCCATACACCCAATCAAGTGAACTATGATATCTCAAATTTGCACTCCTGGCAAAACAGAAAAGAGAAAAAAGAAGAATATGAAATTGTTAGTTCAGAGTGAGCAAGTTTCAGATAAGCTAAAAAGACATGTAGCTATCAGCCCATCACCTGATTTCATCACTTCAGTCTGAACACATGCACAAAAGTTCCCAAGTATGTTTCTTTCTAAACACCCTAACAATCTTTATCTAACATTGTTTACATGCCAGAATGTGGCAGACAAATGGTCTCAATTATATTTCCAAAAATCAGACCATCACATGCCTCTTGCTAACAGAAAAAATTTGAATTCATCCCTAAAACCCATCAGAAACAAGGTAAAAAAGACTCTTTCAAATGTGTTTGGGGGGGGGGGGGGAATTAAGTCTGTTTTCAGGTGTCAACATCAGATACATCATCCATCCTGCAAATAAGCATAAATGTCAAGATAAAACCACAATTTGGTAGGAAACTCAAAAGATGCGCTGCTTTAGAATATCTTATGACAGTTTAGAATTCATCTCTTTTGAATAATTTGATGCTAAACCAACTAAGAATGACAGGCCACTCATACAATCAACCCTGCCATGTCAAACTTCAAATTCTTAATTAGGCGAAATGATCAAGAACAAAAATTCAGTTGGACCATTTCAGGTGGTATAAAATGATTGAGTGGAGATCATAGTAATTTTAGGTCAATTATTTCTGCTATTCCAAAGAAAATAGAAAACAAAAATAAAAATCCAAATAGAAGAATCTTGTCTAGAAGTTCATTCCTAGAATAGATAAATGACAGTACCTTTAATCAAATGCATATGGGTCATCCGCATAAGGATTTAGAGAACCTTCTGAAAACAAATCCCCGATATTTGTAGCATTTGGTTGACTTCCCTTAGTTCCCTTCATGATGAATGTATCAATAATGAGTTTCTCTAATGCTGGGAAGAAAATAACACTTTGATTTAAATACTCAAGCGTATGCTGATACAGTGAGTCATACCATAAACAGTTTAATCTATTGTTGTTTGTATTTCTTAGAAGTCCGTACCTAATTCCTTGTTTAGGTTAATCAGTCCACACTTACATCCAATTACTATATCCAGAGCCAAACGAAGCTAAATATTTGGGCTTCAGCATTTTTCTAAAGGACGGAGTTAGTAGTTGTAGGCCATACTCTTTTAATAACATACTGGAATCTCTTTCCTATACTGTTTCTAACGGCATCCAGTACGACGTAGGCATAGGAGTATGACCATACGTCTAAATCAAACAAGAACAAAATCTCAACTCACATGTTCAGTTAATTTAGCGATGTCATTAGAGATGTCAGAACTGTGAAGGGAAAGGTATAAAGTGTGAAAATTTAACTGTTAATCCCCGAATGGTGTTGCTAGTTTTGCCTTTTCTTTTTTCTTCTCCTAAATGTAAGTCTTTAGATTTTGAGTACCTGAACAAAACTTCCGGCGTTATTAGCTTTTGGTATCCGAACCTTCTTTTTCGTTGGATCCTGTTGTAAACATCAGACAAGGAAGTTCAGCATCGATTGCGTGTGAGTGTATACAAAATTACAACACTATTGACCGACTTATTCCAAACTTTTTATTCTACCGAGGATGTAAACTTTTCATGGACTTAAAATGGTGTTAGGTACATACCTCAAATAAGAATGTACTTCTTTTTCTTCGTTTTGTGATTGTTCTTCCATTGGAAGTTTCGACTTCATATTCATGGTGGGTTACCTGCCATGCCATAAGGTAAGATGAAGGAGGTTTTGAGGATGTGTCAGGACCCGCAAACCAAATATATATTGAAGATGAATGTTTATCCCTTTTTTTCCCAACCTAACCGCAAATGGGAAAAAAGAAAGGGCAGCAGAATTATTTTACCTTCTTATGATGCCTAGGAATGCTCATTACACTTCCCGTGTTGGTATTTTCAACTTTCTTCAACAATTTTGACACTGGTGTTTGTGTTACACCTGCGAATGGTGATTGCTGTAAACAATATAAAAAGACATTTAAGGTGCCTTAAATAATATGGAATTTCAACAGACAATGTAGAAAGCAATCACGGTGACATATAACGATTATTAAAATTTAGTCAGGGAGTCAAAATTATTTATTGCTTTCCGTTACCTTCTCTTCTTCCTCTGGCCTTACAAAAGCATGTTGAGTTCTTTTCTCAAAACCAGAACCCTTCTTCTTAACTGAAGAAATGGAATAATCCTGCAATCCATCAAATTGGTGGCTTTTAGATAATTGTAAAAAGCCACTTGACATTTTAATAATGCTTACCGAAAGATTCCACATCTGAATCCTACTCCAAGACAAATCATACAAAGTAAGGTTTCTGACCCCAAATAACTTAAAACAAGAAATAAATCTGTCTGTGCCAAATATGCATGGTTTTGTGAGTGTTTTAGTATATGTTGCCTTTCAAGAAATAAATATTTCAGCATAAACTCTAAGGTATTGTCCTCGCTGCCACAGTGGTATTGGTGACATGCATGACCTTCTACTCTATGATGCTTCGTTACTACTCCATCTGCTTTTGCTTCCCTTCCAAAAGCATCGATTCGATCAATCATGCAAAGAAATAGTTCCAACCATGCTCAATACACGAAGAATTTAAATCCAGTTAATATCAAAACTTGGAAACTGTCTTCATAAGACAAACACTATAAATGAAATATTTGGTAAAAGTGATCATTGCAGAGCCTAGCTACACACTGAACGATGGAGGTCAGTACTGCACATTTGGAAAATATGAAAAGGTTAATGTGACAGTTAATTGGCTGTTATTTTCTTTACATGCACAAGAAGAGTGAGAAAGAAAGCATTATATTAAAGAAATAAACCAACCCTTCTCGAATCCACTTCTTGTTCCTCTTGTGGTTTGTCACTCATGACCTTCAACTGCAGTTGTAATAGAGCTCTCTGTCTATCTTCCTGCAACACATTAACATAGATCAAATATTATGCCATTAAAATAAAAGAAGGAAACACGTACTTTGGACTTTTGGAGACTTAACTCCTCTGAAGATTTTGCACTCATCTTCAAATTGACATCTTAATGCTTTCATCTGAACTTCATGCTCATTCCTAAGAGATGTTGTTTTCTAGACCAATTCTTAAACTATTAGTATTACCAAATTAAATACATTTGATATTAATTTGAATAATTCAAACTTAAAGCTTAACAGTGTACATACCTTTCTCAGCTCCTCTTCTGCCTGAAGTTGGGCACGTTTTAGCTCCTCATGGTGATCAGCTTTCAGATTCTGTTCCTTTCTATCGTGCTCCTGCTGAAGACGAGTGATCTACAAGGCATGAAAGACATTAGAATTCATAGCCTGGAGTATCATAGATATGACAATTGCATCCTACATGCATAAAGAGACAACAAACAACTTGATCTTAAGTTTGCATCAGTTTCTAGAGCCATACTACAGTAGCATTTTCCTCTTGAATGCTCAACAACTTTAGCCTTAATTCTTCTTTGCACTCTGCAACCTTCTGGTCACATTTCTGTTCCATTTCTCCAACAACTTTGTCAGCCTGAAAGACTAAGTAAGTGAGAACCACTATTTTCTGCATCTAGCAACACACAAAAATCATGAGCTAACCTTCTCTTTTTCTAGTTTGACAATATCCTGCTTCTCCATGTCATATTTCCTCCTCATGTCATTAATAGCCTGAGCAAACTCCTCAAAATTATTAATATGATTGCCATCTTAAAGGATTCACCTCGCATTGAAGGGTAAAAAATGATACCTGATCATTTCTCTGAGATATCTCTTTCAAGTGTCTAGATAACTCTAGCTGCTTACTTTCTAGCATCACATCGTACTGCTTCCTAGCTTCCACAATTTTACTTTCAGCAGTTTCCAGAATTGCCTGATTCTGAAAAAACATTCAAAATCTTAAGTTTATTTCAAAGCCTGCATAAGAGTTTCAAATTCATATACTCTATTACTGTTTTCTAAACCTCAGAAATTTGATCTTCCAGCTTCTTTTCCCTTTCTTTATATTGCAGGATAAGCTGTTCTTTTTCCTCTACCATGACCCGCAGCTGACCAACTTGTGTCTCCAAAGAAACTTCCTGTGCTTCATGTTTCTCCAGCTCCTTTCGCATGTTATCAATTTCTTCTTTTTTTCCTTGTATCTCTGCTTGCATTTTCTCTGTATTATCTTTATTCTCCATTTCCAATGCTGAATTTTTCAGCAATAGATCTCTCTGTAGGACAAGCAAATTGGCTTATGTTAGAAATAAGGATAGTTAAAATAGATAAAATTTGAATATATATTTAAACCATTTTATTCTCGGATGATCTTGAACTTTCAGATAGTGTGTCAATCTTCTCCTCCAGTTCTGAAACCAACTTTTCTGTTTCAATATTCTTTGAGACTAGATTTTCTGCTTCGGATTCCAACTTCTGGATTCTCTTTTCAGCTAAATGGCATTCTTCTGAAAGCTGTGCCATGGCAGACTCTTGGGCTTTCTGAAGTTCAATGATCATACTGTTTAACTGCTGGTTAACCGATTCTAATGCATCCCTTTCAGATGTTATGCACAAGAATTTATCATGGAGTTGCTCATACTTCTTTTGGGCATGCTCAGCAGCAAGACCTCTCTCCTGTTGGACTAACTTAAAGCAAGTGTCATAGAGAAAATTTAGTTCATCAAACTTGTTTGTAAAAGTCATATTTTGTATATCCAGCTCAACCAACTGCGCAGACAACAAAGCAACAAAACTTTCATGATGTTTTATCTCCAGGAGGGATACTGATAGCTTTTTAGCATATTCATTATTGCTCAACAGAAGATCACTGTTCTCTTTCTCCAAATTCTCCTGGGTGGTTAGCAAACATTTTATCTCATCCTTTTTTAATCTCAGCTCAATCTGAACTTCTCCCATTTTAGAGTTCAAACTCTCAGCAGCCTGTTTATTTGCAATTACGGTTGCTTCAAATTTCTTTATTAGAGCATCTGCATGCGAAAGTTTACACAAGGATGCTTTTAATGAATCAAACACAATGGTTATCACGGCTAAAAGTTGCACCTCTAAAACAATCAACCTGCTCCAGTAATGTTTTCTTCAGTCAAAAGGTCCCCTATCCTAAGGGATATGTTAGAAATTGACCTATTTAAAATTGAAATGTCTTCTCTCTTTTCTTTTCTTTTTTTTTTTCTAAATATGGGAGTACCAAGCATCCTAAAGTGAAATTGGTAAGAAACTTATTCGATGGTTTTGTAATCTTCTAGCAAGACTGATATGATAAGTACAAGGCTCAATTTCACAAGAGCCTTAATGATAATTACAGCATGATTATCAATATCAAAATAAAATTACCGCTTATTATCCTTTCTATCTTAATGCTTTAGGTAGAATCTGCCCCTAGATTGATTCAAGTAGCTTATTTGTGTAACGCAGAAAAGATTGAAATACGAGGCATGTAAGCAAAATATATTCACGAGGAAACTTCAAACATCTTCCAGGACATTAATATAGAATCATATTAGGCTATGTATTCATGTGAAATTATCTAATAACTAATGCAACCACTTAGGACTCTTTTAACATATATGAGAAAGCCTAAATACCAACTCAGCCAAGCAATGTTCTCACCTTTTTCCTCGATGAGGTTCTCAGTTTTGCGCTGTTCATCCCTGTAAAACCTATCATTTTCCTCTTTCTGAAATTTGAGTTCTTCTATTTTCTTTCCACCTGCATTGAAAATATCAAATGTCCAACACATTGAAGAATGATAAATCACATAATGCAATGTAATCTGCTCTTGTTGTTAGTAAAAGAATATCAATAATCATCACAAGTGAAGAATGATGATCTTGTGCAAAGAAAATAAAAGTAACTCACGGTTTCTGGTAGTTTCCTCAGCAAAACTTAACTTCAATGAAAGGCCATCCACATGCTCATTCAGTGAGTCTATCGCTTTTGAACCTTCAGCCACTTTGACTTCGAAAAACTCCTTATCTTTCTCAGCTATTTAAGAACATAAATAAAAATACTTAAAACAATACATAATATAACATAGAAAAATGAATTTTCAGGGACATTAAATTGCATATGTATAAAACACCTACCATTCTGAACTTGAATGGCTAAATGATGTAATGTTTCGGTGAGTTGATCATAAAGAGTCTTAGTTGAAGAGAATTTGGACTCTAGACCTTTCCAAAGCTTCTCATCTTCCTTTTGCTTTACTTTGAGCTTAGCATTCTCGTTGAAAGCATTCTGCAATTTTTCCTCTAATATCCGGATATGATCCATTGATTTCATCAGCTTGCAATTCTGCAGTTATTGAAATGATTCGTAAAATAGCCACCAAAAATGAAAAAGAAGAGATCTTCATTATCTCGTGAGACTAAACCATATTATATGATTAAAGACCAAATACAAGCAAGAACAGTAAAGAGTAAAGAAACTCTTGAATCTGCATGTTTTGCACGAGGCTGAATGAACATCGAGGGGGAAGAGGAGGAGGAATAACAAGTAGAGAGAGAATACCTTCATTTCGAGATCGGTCTTCACAGAAGCTTGCTCTTTAACAAGTTTCTCTAGAAGCAAACAAAACATGCCAAGAATTATAAAAAATGTTCGAATTGTTCAATAACTTACATAATTAGAGCAATTTTTTCGATTAAAACCTGCAGTAAGTTTCAAATTTGCGAAACTTCCCAGAGAACTTGAATCGGAAGACGGTCGCGAAGAGACTTGGAAGGTTTTGGCGGATCCAGAGCCGGATCGTGATAAGGATTTGAATTGATCCAAGTTTTTAACGCTTGGAAACCCTAGTCTCTGCATCTTCAAAGATCGAAGGTCAAATATGACAACGAAACTCAGGAAATTTCGCTTCAATCGCTTTCGAGAGCTCTCTCCCTGGAAATCCGATTTGTTCTGAGTGAGAATTTTTGAAAAATGGATTAGGCGCGGAGGAGTGGTATTTTATAGGACGGAGTAAGTCGGTTAACGCGGCAGTTTTAATTGCATGTGCTCGATCCTATTGCAACGTTATACAGCGTCTGCTAGAACCTATATTGCTCTTTAATATTGTATTACTGTTATAATATAAACTTACATTATATTATATAAATAGTTAATTTGGATTTTTTTTATATATTAATATTTTATTTATCAATACATTAATTCAAATTAAGTGTTACATATTATTACAAAAATAATTTTTTAATATAATTTTTTATATTTACAATTTAAAAATTTGAATTATTAACCTTATTATTAGAATTTAATATTACACGATCAAGCGACATTAGTGGTTAAAAAACTTGTTATTATCCTTTGAGACCATAAGTTCGAGTATAACATTATTTAATGTATTTTATTATAAAAAACAATCTAATGTATATTTTATTCATACATCATTGACTCATTGTATGTGTCACATAATTTAATTTTATTTAGTTAACAATCTTTAGAGCAAGTGACTAAAAATAAGGGTGAGTGTATGGTCGAGTCTAGTCTAGTCAAAAGATTTCGAATTATTCGAGTTGGCAAGTCCTATTTTATAATTCAAACTTGATTTGAAATTTTTTTCGAGTTAAAATTTTGAGTTTCTGTTTAAATTTAAGGGTAAATTATGTCGATGGTCCTTATGTTTTCGTTATGATCGATTTTGGTCACCCAAAAAAAAGGGGACATAGTACCTAACGTTATCGGTCCGTCCAGTTTAAGTCACTAATATTATTGGTCTGTCTAATTTAAAACACTCCACCGTTAACTTCCATTAATCCATCAACAAAAGTATTACGTGGCAATTAAAAAATATCACGTGGTCTTTCTTCTTCTTCCCCATTAACCACCCACCATCATTTTAGATAAAACAATGCAATCCATTTCCGAAACCGGTAGTATCTATGAGGACGATGAGTTTGATCTTGCTTTGGTTGGTATAATAGTGGTGGATGAAGGAGTCCATTTTGGGCCACCGTGGACGACGGGGGAGGGGAAGAGAAGGGTTCAAAAGTCGAGAATCAAGAGAAGGAAAATAAGAAAAAATGGTTTCATGGGGAAAAAAAGAAACACAAGGTGGTTTTTTTTATGAGTTGTGATTGTGAAGGAGCATATACGGAATACTCGTTATAATCTTCTTTTTCTTCTTCTTCTTCAACCACTGAAAATGCTAACCTCAAAAAAAGTATGTACCACTTTATCATCTACCTAACCGCTATTGTCGAGGTTAAATGTCTTACCCTCCATTCATTTCTTGTAACACCCTAATTTAGGGGTTAGATTTTAAAATTATAAAGTGGTGAAATTAATTGGTAATTTTGGAAGAAATTGGGGATTAAATTGTAAAATCGTAAAGTTGGCAGACCATTTTAAGAAGTGTAGAAAATTCAGTGACTAAACTCATGGTTTACCCATTTTTTATGGGATGAATTATAACCCCATTTCCCATATGTTTATGCAGAAATTCCCAGTTGCCCTCCCCCTTCAACCCTCCTTTCAACTTCGATCTACTCGCATCCGACCTCTGATCGACGAACCGAAACCATCATCGTGTTCATTGTTGATCGATGAACAAAACCCCTCAAACCTTTCGCCGTGAATTGTAGTCGTTCGTCGTTAATTTCAGTCGGAAGTATCGTCGGTATTAACTCGATTTCAGTTGGTTTTTCGTCGATTCACGACGATTCGACCATCCGTTTTCGACACCTCCCGCACCATCATGTTTCTTGCATCGTTCCGAGTCCACCGGTGTCCTCCATTTCTCCGTCGTCGCCGGCGCGTGGAGGGGTGAGAAAGTCAAAGTTTTTGATGTTTCAGAATCGAGCTCTCCGCCGTTCAAAATTGTGAACCGAGCTCGGTAAGTGTCTCAAAATGCCTTAAAATAATTTTTAGAAAATTTTCCGGAAATTTTTCGACACCGTATTACTGTTCACGCACCGCCACTGCGCGTAGGGGATGTTAATTTTGTAATTAATTTATGTTAGGGTAATATTTGTGTAAAATTCGGGTGTTAGTTTTGTAAATATTTGTAGAAGGTAATTTTGTAATTAATTTCTGTTATGGTGATATTTTTTAAAACGGTCGACTGTTGACCGTTGACTGGCGTTGACCATGTTAACCAGAACTTTGACCGCTGTTGAACGACCTTTGACTTTGACAGAGTATACCTATTCTGACGTTTTTCGATGTCCTGAATCTGTTTTTTAACGTCCTGAATATGTTTTTGGGGTCCGTTTCGCCAAATTCAAACCCGGTAAGTTGTTTTTCACTGTTTTATCACCCAATTCGATATGTTTTTCGAAATTAAGCTCCGTTTTTTATGTAATTTCTGTTGATATGCATCTGAGGAATTATTGGAAGATGATTTCAAGATTGGGGGCGTTCGAATGAAATTTTTATGGTTGATCAATATGGCAGGGAAATCGAGGTAATACATTATTACCTCTTTATGTTTTATAGAACATGTTGATATTGGTAAATGCATGAATGAAAATGTTTGGTCTCATATATGTAATTAATGAAGTTCTACGCTCGATACGAATGCGGTAAAAAGTAAGTAACTGAATGTGACTCAGATGATTATTATAAGAATTGGATGACAGTTGAAATTAAATTACAAGTTTTGGAATTAAGTGATAAAGGAATCAACCATGGATATGTTATTATAATTTATCTCATTAAAGGTACTTGGATGATAAATTATGAGAATATTTCAATTAAGTAAAATTACGAAAATACCCCTATGTTGTAAAATGATAAGAATTGTCCCTAGAAGTTGATTAATAACTCTAAAAAGATTTATTGATCTGATAAAACTAAAGATGTGTATAAGAAATGTTAGTGCTTAGAAAATTTGGATAATCAATTTTTAACCCCAAGAGGGTTTGTGCAAGATACTAGAAGTATGTTAAGGGAATCATTCCAAGATCAGATAATGTTCAAGAAAGCAATTAATCATAGGATCTTTAAAATATATATTTTTTTAAGAGTTAATACAGAAATTATCTGGTTAAGAAATTACAAAAATGCCCTTGAGGGGTAAAAATAGTCCGAGTTGACCCTGAATGAGAAAGTACTTTGAGGATTTGTACTTAACTCGATAAATTACGTATTTAATTGATAAGATCTTGTCTTTGTACAGAAAATTCCTGATAACCTGTTGGTAACTTCTGAGAAGACAATTGACCTAAAAATCTCTGAGTTAAGAATAAATTATCGAGGGTTCTCTTCTGTTAGAATTGTTCGAAAGGTCTGGAAAAGTTGCTACTAAGTGAAATAAGTAACCTTAATGACTAAGAATTTAATAAGTGATTTGGATGAGTCTGGAAACGTTAATGAACATACACAATGTACTATTCTTCTGGGTCATGAATTACAAATCAAGTACGACAACATTTTATGATATTGTGGAAGCATGAAAATGAAATAAAGACATTGAAAGATCTATTCAATGATGATTTCGAAGATGATATCTGGACAATAATTTTTGGTATTAAAGAGTAAATACCCTGGAAGGGTAATGAATTGACCAATCGATAAGTATCAGTTATGGGAGTTGTTCAGCTCGAGTTGTTCGATATTCCGATGGATCGAAACAAATCGTAAATGTTCCGAGTCTTCGTTTCTTCCTTATCAGCTCAATTCACATTCTAAATAACTGATGATTCTGTCAGTTAATGAACTCTTCCAATAGTGATTCTAAATTCCAATATTCTATCGACATACTGAAGATCTGTGTTTTTCTGCTTGATAAGATTATCCAGTATCTCTGAATAATATCTGTAAACTTTGGTGTGTTCTCTAATCATATAAATATTTTATTTGATTTCTGACTTAAATTCTGTTCTGATACATTACCTGAATTTTGTTTCGATTTCTGATCTAGATTCTTTCTGATATCTGATCTGAAATCTGTTTTGATTTCTGATATCTCCGTTTATCGACGGAGAAATATTTTATCTAGGGGTTTATTATTGGAGGAAGATTATCTACAGACTCCTCGGCTTTGTGCTCAGGGTCTAAATGGCATGTACGGTTGGGTGTATGGTTCTGGGGAACCTACACATTTATGATGTGAACGAATGAGGGTATATATATATATATATATGTTTTAAAAAAACTGTATCTTTTTACTGGTTTTACAGGAACACACTAGATAACTTATTCTGATCTCATGAACTCAATCATCCGAAATATTTCTCTGAACTGAAAGCTCATTGTCCGTTACCATCTAAAATATCAGTAAGATCTCCGCTCAGTATAAAAATCTATGGATGTTCGGAACCAATAAGAAAATATATGTTTATCTGTATCTGCACATTCTTCAGCATCATTTGGTAGTTCTGTATTACTGAGCTTTCCAAAGTTCACTCTGTTACTCATCTTTTCAGGTTAAAAGAATTGTACCAGTATATCTATCGACATCAGTAAGGGAATTCTTCCAGGGTTTCTTGCAGAGTATGGTATATGTGATTAGGGGCATGTAATTGTATTTTGTTTTAAATACGAGTCTGAAAATCTGTTTTATTTATGCATACTGATAAATGATTTTATAAGTTTAAATGTTTTGATAAAATGTTTTAAATTTTCCGCTATTTTTATGATGGGTCGCTCCGGTGGCCTAATATGATACTCCAGATCGGATCGGATTATCCGCATCGGTACTAGGGGTTACTTTTCTTTCTTTAACCTCAAACTCACAGCTTTATCAAATCAAACTAAACCTGTAATGAACCAAAAGAAAAACCAGGCAATGATTTGATGCGATTAGTAATATGCTGCAGACAATCAACATATTAATTTTTTTTTCAACATTATTAATGTTTTCAACACCAAAACTACACAAGCGGTAAAATTACAAAGACATGGATATTATCACATGTTCTTGTTCTTTTGAACTGTTTTCTAAAGATGCACTTGTAGCGGCCAAATAGAGTTTGATGTTTAATTATTTAGTGTGATTTTTGAGTTTTTGATTTTAGAGGTTAGGATTTTAATGAAAGAAGAAGAAGAAGAAGAAAAAGAAGAAGAAATTGATTTTTTTTAAATTTTAATTGCCATGCAATATTTCCGTTAAAGGTTAAGGGGAGTTAAACGGCTAAGAGATTAAAATCGAACGGATCAATAATGTTAGGTACCATCTCCCTTTAATTTTTTTGGTGACCAAAATCAATCATAGCGAAAAGATAGGGGACTATCGACATAGTTTACCCTAAAATTAATTTTTTTATAATCATATGTGATGCATATATATATATATGTGATATACATATACTTTTAGGGATGAAAATTTCACTCGCATCCGAAAGTTTCGATCCAATCGGGTCGGGTTTTATTTTAAAAAAAATTCAGGTTCAAGTCTAATTTTTAAGGGATAAAGTCGGGTTGGCTTTAGGTGGAGGGTAAAAAACTCCGACTCGACCCAACTTAATGATAATAATGTAATTTCCTTTAAAATTTTATTATTTTTTAATTAAATCCTTAATTTATATCGGGTCAGATCGGAGTCGGGTGAATGGTGTATATTTTCGTGTCGGGTCGAGTTAACCAAAAATCTGACCCTAACTGACCCATTTTCATCCCTATATATTATACCTAGTCGAAAAACTCAACTCAAACTTGAAAAATAATTCATTAAATACAAAAAAATTGAGTTATTCGATTTGTATTTTATAATTCCACTTGAATTTAAATATTTTTTTAGTCTAGTCAAGTTTATAAAATTATAACTCGAAGTCAATTTGACCGAGTATTTTCAAATCAAGTAGATCTGAAAAATTAAATTTTTGGGTCGTCGAGTTTTGCTCACCCCTAGCTAAAAGTTCTTAGTTAACACCTCCCCTCTCTCCTAGGTTGCAAGTTCAATACTCATTAGGAGCAAAATTTATCTTCCCCTCCTTAGGGGTGACTGATAAATCGAGTCGAGTAAAAAATTTTCAAGTTATTCAATTTGACGAGTCCTATTTTACAACTCAAAGTTGAATTGATTTTTTTTTCGAGTCGAGCAGAATTTTTGAGTTTTTATTTAAATTTAATTGTAAATATTTATAATATTATTTGATTCCAATTTAAATGGTTTTTATAATCATATACAATACATATATTTTTTTATATTTTTCATATGTAATATACATATATCATACAAATTTGAGGGATTCGACTCAAATTTAAAAATTAATCTACTAATTACTAAAAAATTGAGTTATTCGAGTTGTATTTTACAGTTCAATTTGAGCTTAAAATTTTTTTAGTCGAGTCGAGTTTATGAAATTACAACTTGAAGTTAATTTGAGTCAAATTTTCTTGAGTTGAGTCGAATCGAAAAATTGATTTTTCGAGTCGAGTAAGGTTTTGCTCACCTTTGCCCCGCCGGTAGAAATTCTTCAAAATAATAATAATCTTATTTAGGATAACTTACTTATTTGTTATCCATTTATTTTTGCATTTTCCTTGGTCATTTAACTATTCTTTTTTTCAAAATTACACCTAATGTACCAATTTTATTTTATTTTGGTCACTCACTCCCATTGACTCAATGAAAATGATGATGTGACATGATATAATAATATTTTTAGTCCTCAAAACTTATACATTCTATCAAATTGATCTTATTTCAAAACAATTCAAAAAATATTCAATATTTAAAAATCCTATCAATTTGATCTAATATAAAATCTCAAAATCTTCCTCCCAAATCTCAATCTTCCCCAATACCCATTCCCCAATGTCGTCCTGATCTTCCCTTAATGTTTTAAATATTTAGGGGCTGTTTGTTTGGCTCTGAATAGAATCATTCAGCGCTGAATGTTGAATCGTTCATCATTCAGCGCGTTTGTTTCTCACATCTGAATGATTCAGTGCTGACTGATTCAGCAAAATAGTGCTGAATGATTCATCACATAAGTACATTCTGAATAATTCAGAACCATTATCAAACAATGTCACATTCAGAGTTTATTCATACAGAGCATCTGAATCATTCACGCTTAATCATTCTGAAGTAAACAAACAGCCCCTCAGTCATTTTTTAAACCCGAAGGCCGTATAAATTTTGTTTTGTAAGAAATAAACTTCCAAACATAGGAGGAAATATTCCTCCCAAATATTCAGCCTAAACAAATAAATACATTTACAGCTTTAACACTAACATCTTTCTCTCAATGTTCATGAAGGCCGACCCTATTGACAACTTGAGATTGAACAACATTCACATAAGCATGTAAAACACACCAAATTAACGATTTACCTATTTGTAAAATTAAATTTATGTGAAACTTGCTTCGTTTTATTTACTGCGTATTGATCTTGAAACATTTTAAAGCAAACATTTATAAGAATTTCATGCAATAGTGTCACTTGAACTTAACTTGAGTGAAAAGTGATTATCAGGTCTCATAAGTTCAAGCTTGGATGATAATCCAATACTTTTCATTGATTACTAAAAGTAGAAGAAGATAAAACTCATATCTTGCTAGATACCTCAGTTTTATGTGAAGATTTCTCCATTTTAACAAAGGCCAAAAGTATATTATCTTCTTCACACGGTTGGCCGACGCGGAGAGACGCCAACAACGACTGAGGAAAAATGCAGCGAGGATGTTAGGGGAATAAATTTTAGGGAAGATTGGGATTTTGGAATGGGGGATTTTTAGATTTTACATTGGACCAAATTAATAGGATTTTTAAATATTTGAGATTTATTGAATTATTTTGAATCATGATCAATTTGATAAAATGTATATGTTTTGAAGACTACAATTATTAATATATCAGATCACATCATCATTTCCGTTAAGTCAACAGTAGATGACCAAAACATAAATAAAATATAACGCTAGGTATGATTTTGAAAAAAAAGTTAAGTGGACAAACAGAAACGAGATAATATATGGATGGCCAAACAGATAGTTTACCCTTTTATTTATTTAAATTGTTACTGTTTTGAGAATTGGATATCTGTGGGTTTCCTATCCTTTATCCACTTGGATCACACTACAACCTACTAAATAATAAATCAAAGGAAAAGTCATAAAGAGGAAAGAAAACAGGGCAACAAAACCCACTCGATTAACTTAAACAAAACAGGAGTAAAGGGGCAGGGCTTGTACTATAGCTGGGTCGTCGATGGATGCTAAGCCGCAGCCGAGTTCCTCCCATCATGTACTTCACTCCCTTCTTCATCACCGTCCCATTTAACTCATCTCCCCTTCATTCCCTAACAGAATAAGCTTTCCCCAAATCACCAGGCGCCGTCTTTCCACCACCGGTTTTAACAATGCCCAAATTCCATATTCAATTCAAGAACTCCTCCCCGACTGCCAAGCTCACCTCCCTTTTCCCTCTAAATCTAATTTACCTGGCCCCGGTGGTCTATTCAACGACCCATGTTTTCCCTCCTCCCTTCTCGATTTCGCTCCTCCCTTTAAAGATTTTTCCGCTTCCAGAAAAATGGCTTGCGCTACTCGCAGGAATGTTTGAGCAGCGATGGGCTTGTTTCGGAACACAAGGAATTTCAACTGCAAAATGAACTGAAGAAGAACAACAACGGGGGTTGTGGCTGAAGCCAAACGGAATGTTAGGGTAGCGCAACGTGGCGCAGTCAATACTACAAATCATTTGTGGGCTGAGCCATCGCAGCCATGGTTTCAAGGTAACGTTAACAAATTCCGTTCGGAATCTAGCTACGCGCGTTTCCGTAGTTGTCTAGATCCCTATGCATTTCTAATTATTGTTTGAAATGCTATAGAACATTTGTTGCTTCATTAGAGAGATTAACGCTGGAATATATAGTTCGCGGTGAACAAAGGAATATATTTGAGCTTGTTAAGAAGATTGCTTTGACGGAAGGGTTGCTTGGATTTTAGAAAGGGAACTTAATTAATGTTCTTCGCACGGCTCCGTTGAAAGCTGTGAATTTTTATGCATACGATACGTATAGGAAGCAATTGCTTAGATTGGCTGGAAATGAGGAGACTACAAATTCTGAGAGATTCATTGCTGGTGCTGCAGCTGGCATTACCGCTACTGTTCTCTGCTTACCACTTGATACTGTATGTCGAAACCTATGCTTTTGTTTTTTTCTTTTCATTGTTCTATCTTCAATCTGTTCTTAATCATGTAGGCTTGTTCAGTTCTTGGCTGTATGCACTTCTATATTGTGCATTTGGGGCAACTGTTAGAAATAGCACATGGCCAGTTGTTAATCCTTTGTGTTATTAGAGATTTAACAAAGTTATAAAATGTCCTCATCTAGTCTTATGTCTTAGGAGTATTGTTTCTGGACCAAATGATCAAGATAATTTCCCATTATTGTCATTGCAATGCCATGTCATTCAGTAAAGCAGAGAAAGTTTATAACTGATGTAAATGAGACGAGACAGATCGCGAGCTACTCGAGATCGACTCAAGATCGACTCGATCAAGTCTCGATAAATACTCGGATTGAATGAACTTGACTCGAGCTCCACTCGAGTTCTTAACGAGCCGAAACGAACTACTTGATATTCGACTCGAAAAGCTCGTGAGTAGCTCGAAAATATAATATATTAAGATTTTATTTAAAAAAAATAAATTATTAATAATATTAACATTTATGTATTGATTGTTTTTTAAAATACAGTAAGTTTTTCATATATTTAAGGTTCAGGTTCGAGCTTGAGTTTGAGGTTTAAATCGAGTTAAGTTTAATAATTTTTTTTCATTTCGAGCCTTTTCGAGCTGCTCACAAGCTTCAGTCCAGGATTTTGAGTTCGAGTCAAACTTGAAAATTTTAAGCTCGCCAGTTTTCAAGTCAAGTCGAGCTCTATTACAGAGTTTTCGAGTCGAGTCGAGCTCAGCAATACTCGAGCTTGACTCAGCTCATTTACACCCCTATGTATGATTATGCTGAAATCAGCTTATCTGCATTCTCCGGAGGGGAGGAAAAGAATTCAGAACATGATTCAAACAGGGCAGGAACTGAATGATTTGGATCAGCTAGAGTTGGGACCAATGAGGACGCTACTGTATGGGGCTATTGCTTGTGCTTGTGCCGAAGTTGCTACTTATCCATTTGAAGTTGTGAGAAGACAGTTGCAATTGCAAGTCCAGGCAAGCAAAATGGGTGCGCTGGCAACTGGTGTGAGGATAGTTGAGCAAGGAGGTATTTCTGCTCTCTACGCTGGGCTAATTCCCAGCTTGCTACAAGTAAGTGGATAAGCTTTATATTAAAATCTCACAAATCGTTACTCAAAAGTTTCATGCTAATTTTCCCTCTATAAATGCTGGCATGGATCAAACAATGGATATTAACACTATAACATGAGTTCATCTAACATATTTGTATCAGTGCTGTGCTGAAGTTCTTTGAATTTGATTAGTTTCTTCATTATAATATTGTCATACCATTTGATCCGCTAATTGTTTAAATGGTGGATACCCCCCCCCAAACACACGATTTGTGGTTCATATGCTTTTCTCAATAATAACATATCATCTTTTCGTCTTCTGGTCCTACCTTCTGCTTCGATCAGTTATTTTGTATACGAGTTTATGAAAATTGTTGTCAAAGTGATTTGAAGGGACAATCCTCTCGGTGAAAGGACTGGTATGATTTTGTACATTAACCAGAAAATGATCAGAGCAAAAAGATTCAGAGTGGTAAGAATTAGTCATTTCAACTTAACAGTTGTCAACTTATCATTGACGTTCTCCACATATTTGTGTACCTGACAAGAGACCGATTGAAACCTTCATTGAATTTAGACCCAGGCATCCGGTTACTGATTGAATTTAGAATCTTGATTTTGTTTATAATTTTTTATAGCACATTCTCATGATAAATGATCCGGACCTTGGTAATGCATAATATATAATCATTTTCTAGGGACCTTGGGTGCTTAAAATGCATATAAGCATTCTATGAAATGACTTGCACTTGATTCATCCAAATCATCCGGAACTTTTTGTTAAGAATTCAAATATTTGTCACACCATTTTTAGGCAAAAAGACGGGAACAATTTAGTGGAACGTGCTTGTATTACATCCGAATAAACTTTCTCTGCTTAAGAATGGGAAGAAGAAATCTTCCTGAATCCTGACAGTCAATTTTGGGACTTCCCATCAAAGTGCAAAACTTTGATTCTGCCTTTGGTAATAGCAGTTATATGTTATCCGATTATAGCCGTCTAATTGTTCTCAGCCTGTTGAAGGAGGCTTCAGAATGATGCTTGCAATCCGGCGACTGCCGATATCTGTTAAAAAACATGTTTGACATTTCGTGAATGACATTGATTCAACCCTGATAGAACATATAATTTTATGTAAACTAACATCTGGCTTTGTATAGAATGCTAATCAAATGCAGTATGCATGGCCTGGCCTGGCCTGGCCTGGCCTTGTTAAGGTTGAAACTTAGAGACCATGCGTGCAAAGCCGACCGTATATATGTTTTGTTCGAACAAAAACGTTGATTGATTTGTAAATGCATTAGAAGTAAGCTCAAAGTTGATTGATTTGTAAAAGTAATAATTTTTTTTTCGAGATTTATTTTCAGTAAAACAAACAGTCTTTATTAATCTCATTTAAAGAATGAAATAAACAATCTTTATAAATGTCATTCAGAAATGAGGCAAAAAAAGTAAGGACTCGGAAGTTATAGATTTATTAAAATGTATATAATTGGATTAAAATTATGTTTTTATGTGTCCAGTTGAAACAAAATTAAAATTTCATACGTATAATTGCATAGAATTAAAATCCATGGTACATTATATATATAATTAAAATTCATGAGTAATTTTTGAATATATTTCCTAATTATATTCATAAACAAATATAAGTTTTAACTTTAACAATTATGTTGGACGACTGATAATCAATTTTGGACGACTGATAATCAAAATGTTTGGACTTGGAAGCACCGCAAAAGAATATGTTATATGATACACGTGTCGTGTCAACCGATGGTCTATTCGATATCTCAAATGCAGAAAAGTTTCGAACTTGGCTTCTTAAATTCCCACCAACAAAATTCGCCATTTATTGATCTTTGTTTTATTCCGAAAAAAAGCTTCGTCATTTCCGCTACCAAAAACCGTAGGTCACCGTCATGTCGCCGTTCGGCGACGGAGTCATCAAAAGCGGATGCCGCTGCTTGTGTTCTTCCGGAGGCGATGGTGGTTTCCAGGATGGAGACACTAATTTTGGTTTATTCGCATCGCACCAAGACACTTGCACGCATTGCGCGTCATCATGTTCTCCCTCTGCTCTTGGTTTTGATTCGAGTCTGTTAACGGATCCCGAAAAGTTGCGAAGAATTTTCGTCGCTTCAGTTAAAGGCTTCTCAATTGGAGCTGGCCTGCAAGGTGGCTTAGCTATCTTCTCGATTCTCGCACGCTTGCAGCGCAAGAAATCAAGGTATTTGTTTTGTAGAATTTAAGCATTTCTTTTTAAATCGTTTTAAGAATAACAAAATAGTAATAGTTTTCTGATTTAGGAAAGTTGACGCGTTTTCTGATAAAGAAGCAATGTTTATGGCAATTAAGGAGACAATTAGATACGGTATTTTTCTTGGAACTTTTGCTGGTACATTTGTTTCCATAGATGAAATCATTGCTACCCGAGGAGGACGTCACAGGCAATGCTCTTAACCATAATTTTGCTATCTTAAAGTTGAAATGAAAATTGTTATGAAGTTGAGTTTCATTTAGTTGTGTTAAAATTTTGAATTAGGACTGCAAAATGGCGGGCGTTAGTAGCCGGGCTGGTTGCAGGGCCTTCCATGATTCTTACCGGGTCTAACACGCAACACACGAGTTTGTCCATATACATACTTGTGCAAGCTGCTGTATTGGCATCGCGTTGTGGAATAAAGAGTAAACGATTTGGGAAGCTTTGTAAACCTCTTACTTGGAAGCATGGTGACATATTCCTTATGTGTCTCTCTGCTTCAGAAATCTTGTATGTTACTTCAATTAAATTCTCTTGGTTATTTGTGCTGTTTTCTGCCATTAAACTTTAGTGGTATTGTGAGGGGGCGGAATCAATGTCAAACATTGGGAGTGGTCAAATTTTACACAAGGTGTTCTCGTTAAAGGATGATTTGTAATGTTATTACCTGTTTGGGCATAATTTTTGAAGTGGTAGCATTTGTACTTTCAGGACTTCTTACATCTTGAAGCAAGATAGTTTGCCCCCATCATATAAGTCCTTTCTCAATAAACATGGTGGAAAGGACATTGTCATCCTGCAAGGTGTAAAAGAGCTTGCAAGCAGCCTCCCATTCACTACTTTGGAAGCAATAGAGAAACTTTACAAGGCAACAGGGGTGGAAGTTAAATTAGATCCAAACATGAAAATCCCTTGCTCAGTATGATCCTTGTTTCTCCTTTTTCTTCTTCTGCCAAGTGCCAAGTAGTTTAGTTTAATACACTTGATCGTTGTTTGAAGTCTTTACAAGTCATGCAAACAGATCTCATTTGCAATAAATCCACAATTCACTATTTTCTTCCAAAAACATGTTCCCTTTATGATAAGATCCTTGAAGTAGTTGCATTAATCAACATGGTTGATAACGGAAACGTAATAGGTTTTATTGTAGGTATCGTAGAGTTTGTGAATTAAGCATATTGTTATTTTTGAGAATTAAGCTGGAGTTCTCAATCTGTTTGCAGATGATACACGGGAATAAATCATGCGGAACACATGCTGTTACTTTTCTCATTGAAGCATATAAAAGGGCATTACCAGTATATCTTCCAGTTTATTTGATTCCTGCTTTGATATTTCACCGTCAAGGCCTCTTCAGAAGGTAACGCAGTTAGGCTTTTTTCTTGTTCTTGATGAATATATTTTTTTTTAAATTTGTTTAGTTTTTGATTGAGCTTACTATAGTAGGTAAAAGCCCTTTCACAATTTGATTGAGCTTGAGCTAGTTACAGCGGATGCTATAGTTTTTGGTTGAGCTCATAATTTGGCATCAGGGAAAAACACTATAGCAGTAGCAGACTTATTCTTCTGCTTTCTTTCTGCCCTCAATCCCCTCCCCACTAGGATTAATCCATTTCGCCATTATCATCTTGACTTATTCTTTTGAACTTAATGCAGGCCTTACAGGATATTGGGAAAAAGTATTGTTGATATTTCCAGATCAAGCTTATTTTTATCTACCTATTGCACGTCAGCTTGGTTAGTGTTAATATTATTTCTACTGCATGCATTCTATTCATAAAATTGTATGTTTGTTCTCCATTATCTGTATTTCCTAATGTTTTTCAACTTCAATTTAGAGTTTTAGACTTCCCTTGAGATTTTACTTTGCAATTAAAATAACTATTAACAGAGTAAATACCATTTCATAATTTCCTGCAAGTGACAGAAAAATAGAGGGAGAAGACCTTCATGAAATAGTCAGTTGAAGAGAGATATAGAAACTTTTGCATCTCTGCATCTGATTGTTGTTCTACCAAAAGGATATAGCTTAATTTAACAAAATCAATCGCATGTAAAATGCTGGCCTTTGTAATTGAGCTAACCACTATCCTTTTAAACAGGATTTGGACTTGCATGCTGTTTAGGTCCTCGAGAAAATGTAACATACCATTGATAGCAATTGGAACGGTAAAGGACTCTTTTCAATTTATTCTATGTTGAGACCTCCCCAAACCCCGCCTTCCATCCTTGATTAAACATGTCCATGTAGAATACATGCATCCTAAACTTAATAACCAAGCCGGAGTAACATAAAGTTTATCATCTGAGATGTAAGCCTAAGTTTGTTAATTGTGCAGTTTCCAACAGGTCTGAGTGTTGCAATTGAGAAGAAAAGCAGGAGGATGGAGATATCACTCTACTGCCTTGCACGAGCCATAGAGAGCTTCTTTACGTGGATTGCTGATGAGGGGTATTTGGCAGGGTCAAAGAATCTGAAGAGACCTGATGTGGTGATTTTTAGCTTATCAACAGCTATCATAATGCATTGCTATGCACAAGAGAGGCAAGTGTTTCGCTCCAAATACTTAAATGTTCTTGATTGGATCTTTGGTGTGCCTCCTCACCCATGCCAAACCCCTCCTTGCAAACACATTGGAGCAGTTTGAGATGGGTATTTAAATACACATTATTATGGTTATTTTATAATTTCTTTTTTCAATACATGCAATCGATATTTATCGATCGAAAATAGAATTCATTATCATAACAAACATATGTTTTTTGAATGATAATAAGTTTTCCAATTTCAT